TCCAAATCCAATACGATAAAGTCATCATCATATTGGGTGTCTTCTAGCGTATAGTGGATCTTCACTATACGCTTCATGACGATTACGGATGCGCCTGTCGCAAGACGTACCGTCATCCTCGTAGGAGGTGTGTCACATTCACTGAACTTGAAGTGGCCATCTTCTAGCGATTGGCGTTGCACAAAATTGTTGGACGCCCCACACTCGACTAGAGCTCGAAGGGACAACTTATTCGTCACTTCGAGTTTCAAGATAATGAGTGAGATCTCATTACCTAGAGCAGCAACGCACAATGCTTGTGTGTTGGGAGCAACCTTCATCAAGAGGCCTACAAATTCTCTTGACGTTGCTGGACCAGTAGGGTGCTCCGCACCTACTGATCCGGTCCGTTTTTTGACGGTCCATCCCGTTGTTGCGTCTTCGCACCAACAGCGGACCCGCGTCCCTGCCCCTTTCTCATGGGTGGACGGTCACTACGCCCAGTGTTGCGAGACACTGGACGAGGGGCACTACACTCGTAAGCGTAGTGCCTGTCTTTTGGCATCTGTTGCATTTCTGCAACTTCTTGTAGTCTGTAGAGCGAGCCTTCTCGCTCTCTACATAACCGAGTTCCATCGGCTCTGGACTTCCGCTGTCATATCGTCTCGGTTGACGATACGATGTCGAGCTGGCGCAAGCCTGTCCCAGACTGAAGTCTTTCTGTTCCGCAATGGAAATGGCTTGTTCTAGTGAATCTAGTTCAAGTCGGAACAGGTGAGTCTTGAAGGGACCATCGCAAGACCCTGCATGAACACCGAAACCAACGTGTGTTCATCCACCGGGTTGGAACTTATACAACTCGTGAGATGTCGTATATGTTGCACGTAAGCGTGCACATCACGCTTACCTTGCTTGAGCTTCAAGAGTTCAGTTCGAGCTCTGAACTCAGCTCTAGGCGGTTCAAACGTTTTTCTGAGCCGCGACTTGAAGACTCCTAACGACCCAAACGCATATGGGTCGTGCAACTTGAGCCCCAGTGCCCAAGTCTTGGCACGTCCTGCCAGATTTGACTGGGCAAATGCAACTTGCATATCCCCGTCGTCGATGCGACGCGCCCTTATGGCGTCATCCAATTCGACGAACCATCTCAAGAGGGAGTCCCCTTCGACTCCCCTATACTTGGAGATGTCAATCTTCAAGGTCTCGGGTTGACGCGAGTGCATCGACCCACCAGCAGCAGCCTGCTGCTGTCTGAACAGCTCAAACTGCTGAGCACCCTGTTCTCTCAACAACTCTGATTGTTAAGAACCTTGTTGGTGAAGCAAGGCTACTTTCTCGCGTTCTGTGTCAAGTTCATTTTGAATGAACTTGGCGATAGTAGCATGTTGGGCATCTCTATTGAGAGCCTCTAGCATGACGCTAACAGCATGGAATCCCATGGTTGTACCCATCCGTTCAACCGCATCCCATTCGACAACACTCAAATGGGAGTAGCCGTCACGCGTAGCGTGAAAGCTTTGGTCATCTTCATCATCCAACATATTCATGTTAGATGTGAACGTGGTCATTGGACGGACTACGAAGTGCTACCAGGTGTAACGGGGCACCCTGGAGCTTGTACTGATGACAGTACAAGCTACTTATTCTGACTACATGAATAAGGCGGTGCCTCGGAACTTCACGTACACTGGTACGTGCAGAGGAAGACGGTAAAGAGAAGCGAGTACTTGGTTAGAGTAAAAAGTAGAACTGTATTTATAATAGTTAATGTCTGCAATAAATCACTATTTATCTTCATCTAACTATGTCCAAATACAAATGTGTAAATCAACTATCTGCTCACCACTCATTGCGTGCGTCTGTCGTGGCGCGTCTTCGTTGGTTGATATAATGGCCTATATCAACCAATTAGGAACTACTCGTAAGTGCTGTAGAATATTTGTCCTTATGACAATATTCTGAGAATATAACTCTTATAGTTATATTCTATCAACAAATTCTTATAAATTGTTATGTAACGATTCACCCTGTTACTCATACTGTTTAGTAACGCCTTAGGTGTCGAGGCAACTGCCGCAAGTCACCACGCGGTCGTCCGCCAATCTCGTTGATTCCTCCTTTCAACAGCCTTGTCACATTCATCCAAAGCGCTGGCTCTGGGACACTTCGGGGTGAAGACCTTCCTGCAAAAAGTACTTCTCAACTGCATTCGCCACACCACGACCCTCGTTGATTGCCCACACAACTAGAGATTGGCCGCGCCGACAGTCGCCGGCTGCAAACACGCCCTCGACCGACGTCCGGTAGCCTCCATAAGCAGCTCAAATGTTGCGGCGCTGATCCACCTCCAGCCCAAGAGCCTCTGCGATCTTCTGCTCCGGATGGACGAACCCCATGGCAAACAGCACATCCTTCGCACGAAATCTCCTCTTCTGTATCGTCCATTGCTTGCTGAAAGCGTTGTTGACGCTCTTCGTCCATCTCCTCGGCAGTTTTTCCCTTAAATAGCCGCAGTGCCGTATTTTCGGAGACTGTTGGCGTCGAATGGTTCTCGATCACAATGTCGTCTTCGGTCAGAGCAGTCATAGACCAAGTCCATCTCATCGCCAACAAGCTTCGGCGTCCGAATAGGCGACGGAGGATTCAATTTCATCCACCTGTGCGTCTCTTCTTGAGTCTCCATCTGCATAGAATCCCTCGCTCGCTCGCTCGGTCATCATCGAAGCGCTACATTCTGACGTGTCCCTGAAGATAGTGAGGGAGTTGAGAGGCACTTGATCAAGTAAACCGTCGGGCCGACCAGGAGAACAGCGTGAACACGTAAGCGAGCCAGACGTTGTGCGTCGTGCTTCGAGGCGACGACCGAGTCGTTGCGTCGAAGGACGGACGTCGCTTTGTCTGTCCACTGCGATCACGAGAGGCGCCACGTGGAGAGCACTGACGGAAGGATGTGCTGGCTTGTGATACGATGCGACAGGTGCCATGAGCCCGAGGTTCTTGCCAGCCACTAAGCGATTTACACGGAACTTGACGTGGCGGACACCGTCTCGCGACCACCGGAGCATGGGGACGGGGAACTCGCTGGCGACGAGCCGCGCAAACCTCGTGAGCAGCCGCTTGTCCGTTCGATTCGTTTGTTTGCTTGCTGCCGCGTGTTTCTCCCCGGGGCTCGCGCAGTCCTCGTCCGAGCGTCGTCCGGTGTTCTACTTCATCGGCGACTCCCTCACCGAGTACGGCAGTGACCCGGCCAAGCGCGGCTTCGTCACGACCGTGCAGCACCATCACGTGCGAGCTGTCGACTGCGTCAACCGCGGCCTCTCGGGCTACAACTCCAAGTCCGTTGACCTGCGCTCGGCTCGGTTTGACGGCGTGACTGAGCTGCCTGTGGATGTCGTACTGACTTTGGTTATCTGATGTGTCCCTGACCCAGATGGGTGCTGGAGCACGCCATGCCCGTCTATGTCGACGAGCTGCAGGGCCAGTACTCGGCGTCCCTTGTGACGGTCTTCCTTGGGGCCAATGACGCCGTGCTCGAGCACGGACCCGACGCTGCGCAGTTCGTGCCCCTGGAGGACTATCGAGCCAATCTGCACGAGATCGTGCAACGCGTGCGCCCCCTGTTGGCTCCTCACGGCCAAGTGCTTCTGATCACGCCGCCCTGTGTCATTGACTCGATGCGTCAAGGGGACCGCAGCGACGCCTCAGCTGCCAAGTACGCGGAAGCGTGCGTCCAAGTGGCTGCGGCCAAGAATGTCCATGTGCTGGACCTGCACACGTACTTCAACTCGATGTACCCGGCGGAGAGTGTTCGCAAAACGTTCTTTGTGGACGGACTGCACTTGTCGAAACGGGGCAATGAGGAAGTGGGCAAGTTGCTGGGAGTCGCTATCAACGGCATGTTTGGGAAAGACGAACTGGCGAGGTTTGCCAAGTGGCAGTTGCCGGACTGGAAGGAGTTGGTTCCTCGCGTGCCCGGAGCGGAGTCGCAGTTACTGGGCGGGGATGCGACTGGAGTCGCTCGGGGGTGATGGAGCTTTCCGGTTGCCATGAGGTTTCAAACAGCTCCTGGTACTCGTCGCCTGCATGTAAGTGATCAACTGAGCGCTTTACCCTTGTGAGTCCATCAACCGTTCTAGGTTCGTTGAACACGTTCATCCCAGCAAAGCCGTCAGTGTAATGAGCTCACCTGGCATTGCTACTACCTACGATTCGTTTCATCCAGCGTCATTGCTCGTTCTCAATCTCACGTTCAGCCCCATGTACACTGACGGATTGAAGCCGACGCACGTCTGTGCTACAAATTGGACGTCAGAATGTGTCGGCACAATCAATACCAATAGCTCTTGGAACGGAACACGAGGATGCCACGCTTCCGCATTCGTAGCAGGATGTCGCCTCGACAATGAAGCGCTACGAAGTCGATTCTGATGCGCATACGATGCACTGCAACTAGATACTTACCTACTGTTTGTCGTGGCTTGGAACCTGGTACGAAAGATGCACGCCAAGGCCTCGACTGAACCTGAACCGTTTGCAAAGACTGCCATTCTATCACAGCACACAACACGTTGATCTGTCGCACTCTCGCGCTCTCACAACTGCCAAACCACTGCCGAAAGGTGGCAAGAAGCAGCTTCATGTGCGGCGTATCGATAACGACATCTTCGCCTGGCAAGGGTGTCCAGCCTAGTCACTTTGGTGTTGCCACTTGATATGGACTGATGATGGCGTCCGAGCAAACTCGAGGCGACGTGAGCTGATCCTGTCGAGTTACGCGGGGTCCGCAACCTTCAGGATCCGTAACTTGCCGTCACTGGGCCGACTTATGCGCTCAGCAGACTTTCATGTGTTTGTATCTTTAAGATGCTCGAGGACAAGTACTCGCTCGATCCATAAAGCTCGTACATCTTTTGGTGCAACTTGGTAGATGTGTCTCCGTTTGCACGCACTTGCGAGATGGACATGAGCTTTCCTGTCCCTGAGTAGACAACGTCGCAGCTCAAAAGTCGGTTCACACACTATCACTGCGTCGCACTCGTAGTATTTTCCACTTCTCTGCGTTGTCCAGAGACCATTCGCTTGACCTCTACTGCTGCAAAAGGCTCAAAGACGTGTCGGCATTGCGAAACGGGTCCATTCAACTTGTCCGCTGCTCCATATTGACAGAGATTGCGCTGCTGCTTCAAGATGACGAACATTGACAGGACGAGAGCACGAACACCACTCATTCGTCGACGTGATCCACGAGATTATCTCGCTCGCGCATGCCAATGCATCGTCTTGACACAAGCGCTTCGTAGCCGCATTTGCATACATACCCCAACTTTGCCATTACAATAATTACCGCCACCTCCTACCACCAATACACCAATCCGGTCTTCACAACTACTCACAGACCCTTGCCATACCGCCTACTAACGCCTTCGGTATCGAGGCAACTGCCGCAAGTCACCACGCGGTCGTCCGCCAATCCCGTTGATTCCTCCTTTCAACAGCCTTGTCACATTCATCCAAAGCGCTGGCTCTGGGACACTTCAGGGTGAAGACCTTCCTGCAAAAAGTACTTCTCAACTGCATCCGCCACACCACGACCCTCGTTGATCGCCCACACAACTAGAGATTGGCCGCGCCGACAGTCACCGGCTGCAAACACGCCCTCGACCGACGTCTGGTAGTCTCCATAAGCGGCTCGAATGTTGCGGCGCTGATCGACCTCCAACCCAAGAGCCTCCGCGATCTTCTGCTCCGGGTGGACGAACCCCATGGCAAACAGCACAAGGTCGCACGGAATCTCCTCTTCCGTGCCCGGAATCTCCGTGATCACATTCATCTTCGAGTCCTTGTGACCACGCACAGCCACCACGTGCGTAATCTCGCCCTTCTCATTGCCCTTAAACGCCTTCGTGACACGCGCATATTTCCGCGGATCTTCTCCAAAGACCGATCGTACCTCCGCGTGACCATAATCAACGCCATAAACACGCGGGTACTCGGGCCACGGGTTCTCCGGCGCCCGTTGAGCCGGCGGTTCCGGGTTATGCTCCAAGTTCACCACCGACTTGCACCGCTGTCGCATGGACGTGGCAATGCAGTCTGTGCCTGTATCTCCTCCACCAATCACAACCACGTCTTTGCCTTCCGCCGTGACAAACTCGCGATCCCAGCCACTCTGGAGCTTCCCGTCCACCGTGAGCATCAAGCGTTTCTGGTTCTTCGTCAGAAACTCCATAGCAAAGTACACGCCCTTTAGGTCCCGACCCGGAATTGCCACGTCTCGAGGCACCGTCGAGCCCAACGCCAAAACAACCGCGTCGTTCTCCGTCTGCAGCTGCTGCACCGACAGCGTCTTGCTTCCAACGTCGGCGTTCGTGACAAAGTCAATGCCCTCGTCCCGCAGCAACTGCACGCGGCGCTCGACCGTCTTCTTCTCGAGCTTCATGTTGGGAATCCCATACATAAGCAAGCCACCAATCCGGTCTTCCCGCTCGTACACCGTCACGTGGTACCCCTTCTGGTTCATCTGATCGGCAGCTGCGAGTCCTGCGGGCCCCGAGCCCACGATAGCCACGCGCAGTCCGTTGCGTCGGGGCAGACGGGGCACGATCCATCCCTCTTCAAAGGCGCGGTCGACGATCGCGTACTCCGTGTTCTTGATCGTGATGGGCTCGTCCACGAGGCCAGCGACGCACGCGGCTTCACAGGGCGCGGGGCACACGCGGCCCGTGAACTCGGGGAAGTTGTTGGTCTTGTGCAGGCGGTCGCTGGCTTCCTGCCACTCGTCGCGGAACACGAGCTCGTTCCACTCGGGGATGAGGTTGTGGACGGGGCAGCCCGTGTTCGTCTGGCAGAAAGGCGTGCCGCAGTCCATGCAACGCGCGGCTTGGATCTTGCGCTCGTTGTGCGGGCGACGGCTGCTGTTGATCTCGTTCCAGTCGTGCACGCGCTCGGCCGCGTCGCGGTAAGGGTCGGCTTCGCGCTTGAACTCGAGGAAGGCGCGCGCGCTGTCGATGGGGCCCTGGGAGCCGTCGCGTTTGAGGAAGGAGGAGGCGGCGCGGCAAGGAGTGGCGAAGAGGAGGTGGGAGGAGCGGTGGCGGATGGCGGAATGCATGGGGGTTGGAGGTGAATGGATGGATGGAGAAATGAATGGATGCAGGTGGAGGAGGTGAGTTAGTGACTGAGCGAGGCGGACGCGAGTGTGTGCGAGGCAGCAAATTCGAGAATGACAGGGATGAGGTGACGGCGGAGTGTGCGAGGCGGAATTAAGAGGAGAAGTGGGTTGAAACAGTGTGGGTGGGCGATGAGAAGGGCGGGGGATCAGATGAGGAATGTGGAGGGGAGGAGGAGGACGTGGCGGCGCAAATGCTGAGTATGGGTTTATCAATCCGTAGGCTGCATTACTTTTTTGGTGTTGGATGCATTGATATTGGTACGATACTGGTTTTTGCGCAAATTACCGGCAGTAGTCGATGGGCAAAGCGCGTGTGCGTCTATATTCTGACTGGACAAAAATAGTCTATCCACTTTATTGCGCTTGTAGAGTTTGATTTGGACTTCACATATGTATTTGCGCTCGATTTGTGACGGGACCCTCACCTGAGTTGGTCGATGGAGTGTATTAGAAGAAAGAGTGATGGATCGGGCTAATCGGAACTCTCCGTCCAGAGACAGGGGACGTGCACGAGCTTTGCGCAAAGTTAGCCATGGTGACCTCTTTCATAGATTTTCCTACTGTCATCTCCGTATTCGAAACGTATCCAAGTGTGTGCTCACACGATTGACGCAACCTGGCAGACCTTGCAAATAGCAGGCGGCCGCGTCAGTTTTAGCTAAATTCTTGTCTTTACGAATCAGTTGCCGCTCGTTAGACCAAGCGGTACGTCCATCTTACACGACAAATTTGTGTTTCATTTTAAAATAGCGCACAGGCAGTCCGTGGTATGATTACGCGACTTCAAGCTATACAATCCGAAATTTAAAGGAAGCACAGAAGACAGAAAGATAGATAGCTTCCGTCCTCTGTCCATGAGCAGTAGTAGTATGTCGATATTGGAGCTGGTGCTCCATCAGTCAGCCATTTTGTTGAAATTGTAAAGGCAAAGGTCAGTATAGTTTTTGCCAGGTATACTGCACTTTTTTTGCTTTTGTAACGTAGTTTAAACGAATGTATTTTCTGGTAAAGCTGCTAGTACGTTATTATATATTTTAATGCGTGCCCTCATACCGAAACAATTGACTTTATGCTATTTTACTCCATCGAGCGGTCCAACGACAGCAAGGCGTTCTCAACTACGTCCCGTTCAATCTACTGACGTATATCGTAGCAGACAAAAAGAACTATGGACGTCAACTTCTAAATAGCTAGGCGACAACGGCTACGGGCATAAGTCAGGGCCATACTTGTACATTCTTGTCTTCTCTGCCCATTTAATGCATATGGCCAGATAGAATTCACGGTCTAATAGATCTGATACATTCAGCCAAAGGCCTTGAAGTGGAAGTGTGTATCGTCTGTGTCTTCGTTTGTAGCACTAAGACTCACCTCAATGCCCCGCGCAACCAGTCGTTACTTGATCTCGGTCCACAGACCTTGCTCAACTGCAAGGGAGCTTCAATTCGTGTACTGATTATTGCCTCGTCACGTGCGCTGCTACTTGAAGTAGATCACCTTGCAGTAGTAGACAGGCAGGCTGAACTGGCTGCATTCGACCACCGCACTATGAACCTACAAGCTTAAATATGCGCTAGGCAAGCGTTTGAACTCCTCACATCTTGATTGAAGCGCTTGAAGATCCGTGCTTCCGTCAACTGCAAGTCCTAGTTTACGTGTCTTAAGTCCACGCGACATGTTATTTCCTCTGTCTCGTCGCGTCCCAACATAAGTGATCTTGCAACTGCAACATCCAATCGACAGGATGTGATGATTGAAGCTGCTCTATGGTAATATCAATCACACATGATCGGCACGAGGTCCAGTATTGATCACGCAGCACTTGTCTTGAGCAACGCGCGACCGTTTTAGTCTGTCTATCTCCGCGGTATTCACAAATTGAGCGTTGAAGCTCTTAAAAGCACAACGTTGGAGCATACAAAAAGCATACGTACACTCTTTGATCAAATAAAATTGACATTGGGTAGTATTGGCCATTTTTATTGACGGCCCAAGACGTAAACTTACAGCGTGTTCGACGTTACTATTTCACTGAACGACTGGTCTTTTTGCCACGTGTAACCAACGGGAAATACCGATATTCTAACTAGTAAATCGACGCTACACTTTGCGCTATTTCCTACCGGTATGGCAGTGCACTAATGCGGTCATATCCTCTTTTATCACCACCGAAGACAGTGAATTGCATCTCAGTACATATCCCACTCGCTTTTCCGTCGTCCAGATGTTCCCCAACATGATCAAACAGTAGCAATTTAAACGCTTTACACCACGGTCTACGCGCCGTGTATCTAATAATTTGACTTTCGTAGGTGACAGCAAAAGATCCCACATCTAACGTCTCGTTCCCAGCTTTCAGCAGACACCAAACAGGATTTCATTATCGTCTTAGACCTGCCCATGACTGCTGAGTTGCAAACTATCGCTGGGAATTTATCATATTGCCGTTCTGGTTTGTCAAGTCGTAGGCTCGCTCAGCTTGCACTCGCAGCTCCAGCATTTGGTTGTACAGACCCTCTCGAGTGGTGGGCTGTTGGCGCGTACCCGGCATCGTCGAGTAGCCGGCCTCGGCACTTTGTTTCATGCGCTGTCGTATCAGGAATTGCTGCATTTGGAGCTGCTGCTGCTCGTACTGGCGCTGCTGCTCGGACTGGTAACTAACAGGAGCGTGCATCGGAGGCTGGCTCCCAGCAACGCAGGCATCTTTCGGTCCATCGAAAGGATCCGACGAGCTAAAGGTGCCGCTCGAGCCGTCAAAGCTGTCGCTGCAATCCGACGGCATCGAAGACACGGAGCTCGACTGCCACGAATGGTACGACATGGCGTACTCCGAGTCGCTCAAAGACATGGTGGAGATGGACGAGTTAATCATATCAGGTTTCGCGATCATGCTGCCTCTGCTGCTGCTGCTGCGACTTTGTTCATCAAACAGCTTCTTCGAACTTGCGGACTGCTGCAGCTCGAGCTCTTCGCCGGCAAACGGCGACTGGTCTCGCACCATGACCATGCACAATTTGCAGCACGAGACTTTGATCTTGCCTCGACGGGAAAACGTCACCACTCGAATGCGGCACTTGCCGCACATGACGGCGCCGCACGTCTGACAGTTCGAGTGCAAGGACAAGAGCTTCGACTTGGTGCGGCAGATAAAGCAGTGGTGGCTGCTTTGGTCCACCGTGCTCGCACTCCTGTGTGCACTCGACTGTTTCACGACCATAGCCGAAACCTTCTTCGCCTCTGCGCCTACCAGTGTAGACGGGAGATTAAATAGCATATCCATTGTGCTACGATAGTCACCCACCCCTCCAGCCGTGAGCGCGTCAGCCGATGAGTCGTACGCGCCTTGCATGAACACCTCGACTTGGTCTGCAAGTTTGCCGGGTCGAAAGATAAAGCAAAACGACACGTGGGCGCGCACAATTGAATTGTCTTCAAAGTGAGGACAGTTGTGCACGGGCACGGACTCCATGACGTGGTAGCCAAAGTGCTGGCCATCTGCATCTTCCGACAACCCCACGTACTCCATGTAGCAGCAGTCCCGGTTGCCACCCACCGTGCGAGACAACTTCCACTTGAGCCCGAGGTAGGACGTCCGGGTCTGCCGGATCGTTTTCAACACGGCACAATCAATGAGCGAGTTGTCCCCCCAAGTACGCCGCTAACGTCTTCATCTCGTCCGTGGACGACTGATAGAGGCCGTAAATCAAGTCGTCCACATTGCCGCTCACGACGCCATAGCCGATCACTGACGGCTGAATGCTCCTGCGAGGTGGTTCACCGTCTCTTGTCGATCGTGTGGAGAACGACAATTGGTCCATGTCCGTGGGTCCAGAATGACTGTGGGAGCTCATTGATTGACGCGAGCGGGCGAAGAGATCGGCTTCGACTGGACCCGGAGTCGCTGTACAGACCCAATTGGTGAGCTGACCCTTCCGTGCCACGTCTCCGGTAGCAATGGAGTTGGTCCTTTGACTTGGCGAGATTTCCAAGTTTTCGAGTCGATGACGTTGCGACCGTTTCTGACGTAGTGGTCCAAATCTCGCTTCGTCTCCCGGATGATGTCGCTCGCGAGCATCCTGGCTCCTGCACCTCGTCCGGCAGCAAGTCGAACTCGGCAAAGTACCCCGGTGGTAATGGAAAGCGGAGTTGCATGACTTGGCCTGGCACTTGTGGTGGTAATGTGCAATAGAAAGAGGGAGGAGGTTATAATAGTCGCTCTGCCGTAGAGACGCCCGTGGGCGGTCGTCGTCAAGTGACCCAGCTAAATGTGAAGTGACTGGAAGTGAGCGCGATATATTAATAGAGACGAGAGAGGGGAGCGAGGGGAGGAACGGGCTGGCTTGAACATCAGAATGGACGGCCAGCTGGTGAGGTAACGTGTCGTTCGCGCTCCAGCTGATAGTGGGCGATGTAATAGGCACCACGACAATAGCGGTTGTGGAAAGATACTGGTTGGACAATTGCGGCTGCTCTCTTTGTCCGCAGTCGTTGAGGACTGGCGAAGTGAGTGGGTTCTTACTGCTGGGCTCCCTTTGGCCGCATTGGCGCCGGCATATTCGATGACGTGGTGTCTCGAAGCGCAAGACAATTGGGTGGAGCGTGTGTGCAGTACAAAAACCAATAGGGGCATACTGGCTCTGCTTTGGACTTTGCTGTCCCGCATGGCTATGCGGCGCTCTATGAGTCCGACGACCACGGTATTGGTCACCCGCGACCCTGTGCGGATGCTATGACCACCAACTGCTGGATCAGGACAAGACGACAATAAAGTCACCCGTTGGAGCAGCCCCGTGACTACATTGGAGTCGAAACGGCTTAACAATCGCCTGTTTTGTCTTTAATTTTGGCTCTTCTGAAGCTGATTCGCTCACTGTCGTGCATCAAAAGGCCGGTCAGGCTGCTAGTTTTATTAGGAAGAGAATCAGTTGATTGCTAGGGCAATCTGTGGCGTTATCTCCCGGTGTTAAGAAGAAAGACGGGGGTGGGATGTGAAACGCTTCCTAAGATTGGGTTGCTGTGAGAAGGGGCCGCAACGTGGTTGTCGTGTCGTGATGGTACTCGACATGGCGAGTTGCTCGGAATCCGACCCTGTGTTGGCCCCGACAAGATTACTCCGGCACACCATGGAAAAGTTCAGAGGCTTTTCGTACGTCCCCTTACCACACCTTCAAGCGTTGTTGCGGTGTTACCTCTGCTTGTCCAAGACACGCGCCGGGTTGCCTGGTCATACTGGCAGCTCACCGTTCTAGTGTAAGCATATGGCTGGTCAGTTGCAAGACTGGACTGAAGCTGCAGTCGCAAGGTCGGATGTTGCTTTCGTTGCACTACCACTCAGGCTCTTGATAAAGCAGATCGTTTAAATGACCTTCAGCTCATGTATTTCTGACCACGGTGCTTGCTTCTTGCACAACTTGTTTGCGTGTTTGCTATGGACCGAAACCCATGCTAAAATGGCATGAAACGGCGTCGAGAGCTGGTCCATGCTTGCTCCCATGTCCACATTCAAGTGCAGTACCGAAGGCGTTTTTAAAAGCGCATGGGCGTACTCGAGTCAGCGGGCAGCGCGTTTACCAGCAAAGCGATCGTTTCGAGTACCGCATGGTAGTTTACTGTGAAGGACCTTCTCCAGGAGAAAGAAGCTTGCGGAAACGTCCATTCGATACGCCGTCAACTGTTTTTCCACATTGCCTGCTTGGTGAAATTTTGCCTGCGCAGCTACCTGGTTCAATCGTAGGGGTGTCTTCTCGTGCCATATCGTTAAAGCTGCGTACTCTTTCGCACTCCCCTGTAGAGCTCTACACTGTTGATATGCTGTTCGAGGCAGGACTGATCCGAACTGTCTTATGATTGAACAGACCTACCTTCTTGTTCAAGCAGTGACTATGCTCATTGCAATACACCCACAAAGCGCTTGAAACGATGTTGACAACCT